TACTTGGAAGGCTGAGGCAGAAGGATCACCGGAGCCCAGCAGGTTGAGGTTGCAGTGGCCAGGAGCGGCCACTGCACTCCAGTCTGGGTGACAGAGTGAGAGTTCAACTCAAAAAAGAAAAACAAAGTGAGTGCTCATCACATAAACTGCTTGAAGAAGCCAGAGCATGGCCCAGTGACAGATAAGATCTCAGAGGCTTCCCAAGCCAGAGGAAGCCTGCCAAGAGTTGCCCCCAGAGGAAAACACTTCTCCCTGTGTACCTCCCCTGAGCATAAGACTTCACAGGGGAAAGTCTGGATACATTTGTAAATCAGGCAGCCCTTGTTTCATTTCTACAGAATATGAGACATGCTGAAGGTTTTCCATTTCTCCTGGGGGTGCTGAGTAGCTTTCCCACAAACACTCATCTACTAGTAGGGCTTTACCTGATCTTTGTCAACTAGCCCACTGGGGCTTGGCCGTGGTTTATCTCTGAATGAGTAAGTAGCCGCTTGCTTCTTCAAGTGGTCCAGGAAGTCAGGAGGCATGTACTGTGGAAGGTCATTTAGGACTGGATTGTTTCTGTGCACAAGAGGTGGTTTTTTTCTTCCTTCATTTTTAAAATTGTAGGTTGTGATCACTGGATTTAATAGGGAGTCTTCAAGAAAAGTTTTCAAGTGATAAGTGCCAGGTATGGGAGTATTCTGTGGAAGATGACATTAGTTTTAGATCGCTGTGTAAACCTAGAACTTCCCCTAAAGCATTCTTGGAGGGTCATTTCTGGGAAGACTCTCTTTGTTTTCAAGTGAATAAAATTACATCAATTATAATAAGTGGTCTTGACAAAGCATTTCAAGATAATCGTGATTATTTCCTTTCTGAAACAATTGCTGAATGACAGCAAATGGGTTATGGTTAAAGTTTAATATTTTTTAAACTTTTGTTTTTTATTTTATTTTTATTTATTTATTTATGAGTTGGAGTCTCATTCTGTCACCCAGGCTGGAGTGCAGTGACACGCGCACGGCCACCACAGCCTCAACCTGCTGGGCTCAGGCAATCCTTCCGCCTCAGCTTTCCAAGTAGCTGGAACTACAGGTACGCGCCACCAAGTACGGCTCGTTTTTTGATTTATTGTAGAGAGGAGGTCTCACCAAGTTGCCCAGGCTGGTCTCGAACCCGTGGGCTCAGCCAATCCTCTCACCTCAGCCTCCCAAAGTGCTGGGAATATAGGCGTGAGCCACTGCACCTGGCCTTATTTTTTATTTTTTAAAGACAGGATCTCACTTTATCACTCAGGCTCGCATGCAGTTATGCAATCATGGCTCACTGCAGCCTCAAACTCCTAGGTTCGGCTGGTCCGATTGGTAGTGGGTTATCAGAACTTATTAACATTAGTGTCATTAAAGTTGGTATACTATCCTCCACTGCTAAATTTGACTGGCTTTAAAAAAAAAACTCCTGGGCTCGGGTGATCCTCTGGCCTCAGCCTCCCAGATAGCCGTGCCTATAGGCACATGCCACAGTATCTAGTTATTTTTTAATATTTTTTTTGTAGATATGAGAGCTCACTATGTTGTCCAGGCTGGCCTCAAACTCCTAGACTCAAGCAATCCTCCCACCTTGGCCTCCCAAGGTGCTAGGATTACAGGCATGAGTCACTGTGCCCAGCCTGAAGTTATCCTTAAACTTGTGATTCAACTTTGACTATAAATTTCAGGCCCCTAATGAGACCACTCAGGATAGGTTCTTGACTAACTAAAAGTGATCTACTTCTACTCTGTGGACACTACATTTCTCTCCTGCCCTCAAGGGGAAGCTAAAGGACAATGACATGAGACTGAGAACGAACTGGCGGAGCACATGGGGTATTTAGTCCAATAAGAGGTTGTGTTCAAATCACAACCAAGCTGGGCTCGGTGGCTCAGCCTGTAATCCAGCGCCTTGGGAGGCTGAGGTGAGTGGATTGCCTGAGCCTGCAAGTTCAAGACCCACCTGGGCAACTTGGCAAGACCTCATCTCTACAATAAATCAAAAATCAGCCAGGCGTGATAGCGTGCACCTGTAGTTCCAGCTACTTGGAAGGCTGAGGTGGAAGGATTACCAGAGCCCAGCAGGTGGAGGCTGCAGTGGCCGGGAGCAGCTACTGCACTCCAGTCTGGGTGACAGAGTGAGACTCCAACTCAAAACAAACAAACAAACAAAAAAAAAAGCAAATCACAACCACAGTGTGGCTGAATGGCCGGAACTGAAGGTTTAGTCACTGCAGTTTTTGTGGCCATCTTTCCACTGTGCTCAGCTCACTTCTGCCACTAAATTAGTTCAATTCCAAGACGACTTTTGACCCAGGAGCTCTTGTCTTATGAAGGGTGCTGATAGAAAATATGTCTGCATTATAGAAAGTGTCTCTTGGAGTGGGGCGGTCTTCTGGTCACTTTTCTTCTATATAGTACCATCTTGCCTTCATATATTGATCGTATTAGCAACCATTATCATGGGGTCTACACCATTACACCATCTAAGTAAGAACAACTGGAAACAAAACAACTTTCTAGAATGTGTGCATTTTCTATCTTGTGCGATCTCACCAAGATCCTAAGATCATAGCTTCACCTAATCTAGATATTCTATAAAGCACCTGGATTCCTAGAGTTGTTCTACTTTCCCAAGCCTTTATTGCAGTCAAAATGTAAAGCCATCTTCTCATTCATGTGTTGATACTAAAATTGTAAGTAAGAAATGAGGTCCATGCAAGATTTGAACAACCACTGTTTTCTTACAATTAAATGTTACTGACTTAAAAGGTATGGCTGGGCTGGGTGTGGTAGCTCATGCCTGTAATCCCAGCACTTTAAGAGGTGGAGGCAGGAAGATGGATCAAGCCCAGGAGTTCAAGGCCAGCCTGGGCAACATAGTGAGACCTTGTTTCTATAAAAAAAAAATTTCTTTTTAATTAGCCAGGCGTGGCGGTGCACACCAGTAGTCCCAGCTACTTGGGAGACTGAGGCAAGAGGATTGCTTGAATTTGAGGCTGTAGTGAGCTGTGATTGTGTCACTGCACTCTAGCCTGGGTGACAAAATGAGACCCTGAGGCAAAAAAAAAAAAAAAAAAAGGATATGCCTGCTTAAACTATTAATGGAATAGGAATGATTTGAATTGGAAAGACTGAAAGTATACATACTGTTAATGTTATTCTCCACCATCCTTCTCTTTCAAAAGACGAGGGCTTTCGGATTGGTTTCTATTAACAAATACAAAATATACTTATTTATTTGAGAAGTGATCCTTGAAATTAAGTATAATTTATAAAACTTTGGCTTGAGAAAATTAATACCTGCACCAAGCTGGTAAGCCTTCATTAAAATAAAAGCTATATCATGATACATTCTTCTTATACTATTTCCCTAAACTGTTACTTTATGTTTTAAGTGCTTTTAAATCACTAAATTCCCTTTGATAAAATTGGAGTCATAAACATCCCCAGCTCACAGAGATTTTGTAAGGATATTAGATGTGACCAAATCTGATGTTAGGAAAAAAGTTGGACTTGAAGAGAAAGACAGACTTGGGCTTGAAACACGGCTCTGCCACTTTGCAGCTGGGTACACCAGGTGAAGGGCTCAACACTCAGGCTTCTTCACGGAAGTATAAAAATAAGGGACTGCCAGAGTTGGTGCGAGAATAAAGCATTGTACATCTAAAGACTTGCCCCTACAACCAGTGCTCAGTTGATGACAGCCTTCGTGTTTAATACTTCATCTGCCAAGTGAAGCAGATTATTTTTGTATTCCTCAGTTTTCAAGGAAGCTCATGTATTATTTTTTCACATTTGTTTCAGCCCTATTGTCCACTGAACACAGCTGTCTAGCTTTTTTCCTTTTGAACTATTTCTCCTAGATAAAAGCATTAAAATGTTGAGTCCTACTTTCATTTATAATGACTCTGTTATTATTATGAAATATGGGTTAGGCCAAGCCAGAGTGCATTTTAAAAATAAAAAAAATCTAATCACTAAAATGGATATAATTTGTTCTTCCTGTCTAGTGCCTTAAGCCCACTCTGCTTGGGAGTACCACTGGACTTTAGTTTTACCATGAAATATGTGCATTTCTCTAAAAACCATTGCTAAGTTGGAACTTCTTCCTATGCATTTCTTCGTAAGATTGACGCTGCATCCTCTCTGTTGCACATGTACAGTCATAGGGGCAGGTCAGGGCAGGTCTCCTAAGGCTACCCAGATCCAGGAAAGGAGGTGGGAAGGACCCCCGGAGCAAACCTGATCAATGGGAAGGAAGGTGGCTGGCAGTTGTTGTCTCGTTTTTGCCTAAGGGGATCTAAACTCCACCCAACTTCCATTTAAAATTCACTTTAAGGAGAAAGAGAAAAGGTTAGATTAAACATCCCTCATCCAAATTTATTGAAAACGAAGCAAAGGCAGTTTCAAATATTTTTATAAATACTAAAGTAAGAGGTGGGGGGGGGAAATGATTCTGGCAGACTACCAAAAAAAATCCCCCAGGCTTCGGGTGGGGGAAGGGTTCGAAATCCAACCACCACACTAAAGCAGTCGTCCAGCTCAATCAGTTGTGGGAAAGGGGGGAAAAATACAGAAAAAGGGCAAAGGGAAAGGAGAGGGGAGGCAGCAAGGGAAAAGGGAATAAATCAAAGGAAAGATCCAACAGAGACCTGGAAGAAAGGGCCACGGGTGTAGACGGGAGGGTAGGGAGGGAAACAGGAAGAGGCCGCAGGGGCGCCAGGGCCTGGGACTTAGACAAGGGTAGAAAAAGGGCGGGGCCTGGGGCGGGAACAGAGCGGGACGCCAGAGGCGGGGGACCTTACCGAGGGGGAAAGGAAAGGCTCTGCACGCCCCGGGTCTTCCCCCACTGTGGGGGAGGTGATGGCGACCCCTGGCTTGTCCATGGCAGCCTCTCCTCTGCCTAGGCCGGGCCTGGCGTCGGGTTGCTAGGAGACGCATCCGGCGCGCGCCGGGGACCCGCCGGGTTTGCGGCTGGCGGCAGGGCGGGGGTGTGGGGAGGCGGTGAGGGAGACCCGCCAGACGACACGGGCACGCGCACGTGGAGAGGAAAATCGAGAGGGCTCTGGGTCTGCCTTTTCGCTTGCCGTCCCAGTGCTGTAGCTTTTCAGCCTTTGAAAACTCACCCTTCCTCAACCTTAACTCCACTTTTTTTTTTTTTTTTTAAAGCAGGATTTGTTGAGAGGACAGAAGAGCTCCCACGGTGGGAGGAGACGCGAGGGGGTTGCCCTAACTCCTTTGAAAAGCACCTGCTGTGTTCCAGGGACTGCACATCCATGAATCTCATTTAATCCCAACGGCCATCCGATGAGGAGACAGGCTTCCCTTGACAGTGACGCGCAGTTGACTCGCCATCACACGAAGCGGAGCCAGAATTCAAATCTACATCTGACTCGAGCCGGGAGATTTCTGCTTTCTTTCACAAGCTTTCTTTTCTCACTTCCCATACTTTACTAAGCCCGTCTTGATGACATGCGCGCACAGCTTTCTGCAAACTGCACGTACTAAACTCGCCAGTGACCGCGGGTCTTCAGCTCTTATCAAACCCAGCCTTCGGTTTTCATTGCTGCATTGATTATTCCCTCTTCTTGAATCCTTCTTTCTTAACTACCAGGATTTGAACGCCGGCTGCATTTGCTGATTTATTCTGTGATTGCTTCCTTTGTCTACAGAGAAGGGGTTAGGGCTAGGGTTAGGGTACCTACGCATGGGATTATGATGACTACTTGAGTGAGATGTTTGGAACCATGTCTGGCACAGTGCATTCAGCTAATGTGACCTGTCGTTGCCTTTAGGACAAAAGCAGCATTTACAATCCAACCTCCCCCCCCCATTAGGACCTCACTTGCTGCTGTTATCTTGTATCAAGGGTCAACTTCTCTGAGTTTTTGTACGCCTAATTCGCCAGGCCCCTAGGGTCCTGTGCCTATCTTTGTTGGAGGACTCATGAAAAATCATTTCTCTCCTAATTTTAAACATCCTCAAAACACAGGTTGTTTTTGTTAACTGAGTCCTTTGAACACAATAAGCGCTGAAATATTTGTTGAATAAACGACTGACCAGTTCTCTTTTTAAAAAAACCAGAATAGATTACAGCAGTGCTTTTCAAAAATTAAAATGTAAATTGATTCCAATTCTGGGGCAGGGCCTAGGATTCTGGATTTCTAACAAGCTCCCAAGTGATCCTGTGGGTTACACTTTTTGAAACGAGACTAAAAGACTCCATCTAATTTCTCTTAAAATACTGGGATTCTAAATTCATTCAACAAAGCCTTTTTTTAAAAGGCCAGGCACTGGGCTTAAAATGAAGAATTGGAATTAAAAGTCTGAGAGTCAAGTAAACACTAGAGTTCTCACAATATTAAAAGATTAATCTGTAGTCCCAGCTACTTGGAAGGCTGAGGCAGGATCACCTGAGCCCAGCAAGTCATGGCTGCCATGGCTGTGGGCGTGCTACTGTGCTCCAGCAATCTGGGCAACAGAGTAAGATCTAACTCAAAAAAAAAAAAAAGAGATTAATCAAGTCCATCCCTGTGGCTCATTTCATTTTCTTATTTTGGCTAAGTCTATAAAACTGGCTCAGCTAACTAGGGACTGGTACCCTAGGGACTAAAAGAATACTAAAGGTACAGAGAAGTCCAGAAACCCATACAAGGTGTAAAATTGAGATGGGAACATCTAGATGAGAAAATAGTTTAAGTATCTCAAAAATAGAAACAGCATGGGTCAATTATTTCAAGGACTGCCTGTAAAACAGATTAAGCATGTAGCATAAACAGAATATTCCTCTTAAGAAAACACTGTCTTGTTCAGTATCACAGACTTATTTTCAGGTTACATAACAGTACTATTAAAAGGGGTGAGGTGGCATTTCTCTGAGAATAAGTCTACAATCAAGCTCAACAGTGCCTATTATGTATCAGACCTTCACAATTTTTACACCCTCTTATAAAACTTTTGGGAAAACACATCATACTGATAATATTTAACTGCAATAGTGATGGTTTATTGGTAGAGTTATCTGAAAACAAACATGCCACAGATAGTATTAAGAATTACCAATTCCTGGCCAGGCACAGTGGCTCAGGCCTGTAATCTAGCATTTTAGGAGGCCAAGGCAGAGGACTGCCTGAGCCCAGGGTTTTGAGACCAGCCTGGGCAGTATGGTGAGACCTCGTCTCTCCAATAAATAAAAAAATTAGCTGAGTGTGGTGGCACGTGCCTGTAGTTCCAGCTACTTGGAAGGCGGAAGCGCAAGGATCACCTGAGCCCAGCAGGTCAAGGCTGCAGTGGCCATGAGCATGCACTGTACTCCAGCCTGGGCAACAGTGACTCCAACTCAAAAAAAGGAAAAAAAAAAAAGGCCAATTCCCATAATCCTGCTAACATAAAACTGATATGGTTAAGTAAGACTCGAAGGTGTAATTTTAATCATAGTCCTGGGTTCAAATGTAGGAAGCACTGGAACTGAGATTCAAACTCAGATCACGATGAAGTTATATCTGTTCTATACTTCAATTTCCTGTAAAATCATAATGCCTGCACTTTGGACTTTTGTACATTTTTCAAGAATAGAAATCCCCAATTATTATGACATGGAAGGGTCCAAAAATTGTGTTTCCCCACCCATCTTGTTATCCATACCTTGGTTATCAATGTATATAGACGTCACGCTGATGATTAAACCTAGAAAACTAATACCAAAATTAACTGCCCAATTCTCTCATTCTACAGAGTCATAACAGATTTAACAGCATAGAATACTGAGCACTTAATACAATTGCCAAGGACTGTCTTTCATTTCAGTAAAACGCTTCTAAAATCTTCCTATGTGATCACCTGAATGTGATGTTACATCCCTACTAGAATTATCAATGCCTGCCTGTAACCTCGCTCTAAAACATACTCCTCCTTCCACTAACCATCCAGCTATTATCTAATAGAACTAATAATAGTGGTATTAAAATAGTCCATGACGGGGCAGTAATCTGCCAAATACTGAATTGTCCCCTGGGAAATTAAAGACCGTGTATAATAACCAGGTAACAATTAGACTCAATGCTTTCATCTTGGCTCTGGTTGGCTATGGAATATTTCATTAAGTATTTAAAAGGTAGTTAAAAAAACAAAACCTGATAACCACCCTTGGAGTAGCTTATAAACATAGCAATAGAAAGCAAGCAAAAACTAAAACAAGGTGTAGTCACTGCAAATCTACTCCCGAAGACACCATTTTGGTAAAACATGCTGCAGATGAGCAAGCACAACTAAAATTATCCTGTCTTGGTAGAATTAAAAAGCATAATAAAGGATTAGGAAACTGGCAAAACCTAGACGACCCTCAAATTAGATTGCTGTGATTTTGAACAAGCATTAAAAAAACCATTGTACAGCTGAAGCCAACATGGACAGATGCCAAAACTGAAAAATATATTTAAAAGGTAGGAAATACCAAACACCTACCTATCCCAATTCCTATGCTAGGCACTTATACAAAAGATTTTAGTCAAAAGGCCTGGTGGCAGAGGATACTGTGGGCATGTGTGACGGCAAATCTCCAACGGCACCCGGGCTAAGACAGCCCCAGTCTCCCCCCTTTTGGCCTTCCACCTCAGTCTCTTCAGTTGTCTCTTATTTTGTTCCTCTTGTCTATTTTCTATGCTTCTCTCTCCCATTTCCCTCGCTTCACCCTCTTTTCTCATTTCTCCGATTTCTCTTTCCTCTCCCACCTTCACTATTTCTGCCACCCTTCTCCCTACTCACCCCACAGGAAAAAAAGAGAAAAAATACTTATCTAGATTATACCAAGTAGAAACCAGCTCATTTTATTTTCAAAATATTAGACTTCAACAGTTAATTAAGGGACTCAGATTCAGAGCAACCGTTGGGTAAATTGTAATTTTTTTATTGGAAAACAAATATACAACTTGGAATGGATTTGAGGCAAATTGTGCCATAAGCAGATTTTCTTTAAGTGGCTAAACAAAGTTTAAAAAGCAAGTAACAATAAAAGAAAATGTTTCTGGTACAGGACCAGCAGTACAAAAAAATAGTGTACGAGTACCTGGATAATACACCCGTTTTGCAATAGTGCAACTTTTAAGTACATATTGTTGACTGTCCATAGTCCACGCAGAGTTACAACTCCACACTTCAACAACAACATGCTGACAGTTCCTAAAGAAAACTACTTTAAAAAAAGGCATAACCCAGATGTTCCCTCATTTGACCAACTCCATCTAAGTTTAGATGTGCAGAAGGGCTTAGATATATCCAGAGTAAGCCACATGCAACATGTTACTTGATCAATTTTCTAAAATAAGGTTTCAGGACAATGACAGTAAGATAAGGGAGAAAACATGGAGGAATGAAGTCCTAATTACTATACATGCATATTTTTTTGACAGTAGGGAGAAACCTTTTACAGATAAGTTACAAACAAAGAAAAGGCAAATAAACAATTTTGTACAAGAAATTTAACACATTCTGTACAATGTCTTCACTTTGCTGTCATCATTTGTACAAACTCTGAAAAAGAAGAAGTACATAAAAAACTCAGTCAATGGCAAAAGATCAACAAGTCACTTATTCTACACTGAACAGTCTCTCCATTTCCCTCTCTTCTCGGAATTATCATAAAGTACAGAGGAAAGCCGTTACTGATGAGGTCAAACTTTCACAAACCACAATTATTCAGGATTACTAATTAAAGCCAAATTAATGCTTTAGATAAGCTATTAGAAAAAGAACCCTTCTTGACTCTCTCTTAGCTTAGACTTGAGTTCTACATTACAAGTCAATTTTCTTAATTCAGTGCCATAGAATCGGTTTAATTTTTAGAATGGTAAATTTATGGTAAGTGGTTACACAATGAAAAGTGACAAGG